CTCCGAGTCGCTAGTGGACAACTTCTCCTTATCATTGAGTTATTAATCCACTTGCACCATCTAACCTACTGTATCCCGAAAGCGGTCGTAATTGCGGGAAGTCGTGCATGTTTCTGGCAACGGTAAATATGTCTAATGAAGTTATTCTCATTCTGTGGTATCGTTTTACTCAGCTAGGTTTGCAAATCGCTGCATAATAGGCCTTAATGGTCTCTGCGCGCAGAGAAAACCCAACATGGCTGGTAGACCTAACCACGAGATTTGCTACGTTACCGTAAGTGCGGACTCTGTGACGCGCGTGACATCGGAGAAGTTGTGCTCTTCATAGTAACACCCCATTCCTTCTCGCTTTAATTTAGTTAGCTGAGTGCCATTAGTTTCAAACAAGCCTTTCACGGACGGTGACTACCAATTTTACAACCCTAGTTGGCGGCTCCGTAGAACTACTACGCAACTGCATTTTTGAAGGTCAGATTTGGCAGCTGATTAGTGGCAACCTCAATGTACCCTCGTAGCTGCGTTCATACTTTGCGACAGCTTCCACCAGCGTCCATTAGCGTCAGCCAATACCATCACTGTCTCGAGGGTCTAGAAAAGTGTGGATATTGATTTAGCGTCTACCATCAAGCACCAGCGTCCACTAGCAACCAGAAGTGCGGTATTTTGTGCTTCCCACCCCTTTATCAGCAGTCTGCTATCCTCCTACTTCCGCATACTCTCTGCTCCGGACGCTGGTAGACGCTGTCGCTGGCTAGACTCACATCTATACGTTCCTGATCACTGACGCTGACGGACGCTGGTGGTCGATGATGGATTCTGCCGCAAAGTATGAGCGCAGCCTTTCCTTCTTTCTGCGCGAAGCCAGTTCTTCTGGGCTAGACTGTGGAAGTTCTTGAAAATTTGGGGAAATTAGTAGGGAGTTTCGAGAATTTGGGAACATTGTAACAACAGTCCACATCCTCGAGACGTTTTAGACGAGTAGAGGATTGAGATAGGAGGTGTGGCGTACTGGAAGGGAAAATCATGGGAGGGATCCGTACTGACAGTGCCATTTTAGAAATTCCGATGCACTACCCTGTTAAGAAATCGCCTATGGGGTCGCTGGTCTCACTCTTTAACTCGTTTTACACAGGCCATACTCCCACTGGTCAAGGACAGATCGATCCTTACGCATGTGCCAACATCCAAAACGCCAACTCTGGAAAGTAATACGAGTTGTGTGAATGATTACACTCGAAAATAGTGAGCATCAGCTCCTAAAATGCACTTACCTGGTCCTTCCATTTTTCCCAATTCGGCTAAAACCGGTGGTCAGCAGATGTACAATATTCTGAGAAACTGCAACATTAATGTTCAATCCGTGTGGATTCAGGTAAGCAAGAGATGATGAAAAGTGAGTAAGCTGGATTCAGGACTCCCTAAACTAATGAACGTGGCCCAAATGAGGTGGCACTCCTCGAGAAATGGTGACGAAGGGATCTCCCACATTTGAAACGATTTCGCATGTTGTAGAGGCTCACACGGAGATCACAGAAGTGATCATTTTCGCTGCTCGCTGCTGGGAATGTCAAAGAAAATGTGAACACTAGGATAACAGTGGTTTAAGTCCCCTAGGTGAAAAAAATTTTGCATTCCTCCAGTATTTGCGTAGTTGCGTTCGTATAAGTCGGATCCGTCCTCACG